TCCTCTCCTCCTCCTCCTCCCTCCTCTTAATCCTCCTCCTCTCTCTCCTCCTCCTCCTCTTTCTCTCCTCCTCCTTCCGGCGGCCATGTATGAGTACCTTATTCCGAGACAAATCAGGGCCTCTATTTCCCCTGTGTTATGGAGATTGGAGTTGGCGGTCGAGCGCTCGAGCGGCGTTGGAGGGGGGGGGGCTGATGTGTGTCTGGGGGGTTGTTGTTGTTGTTGTTTTTTCTTGATCTTAATGTTTGGTGTTTCTGTCTTTTTCTGTTTGTCTTTCGCTTTTTCCTTTCTTTTCTTTTCTCTTTCTGTTTTCTCACTCGTCTCCCTCCCTTCCTTCCTCTCCTCTTCCTTCATCCCTCCATCCTCTCCCTTTTCCTCTCTCCCCTCTCCCTTTCTCTCTCCTTCCTCCCTTTCTCTCTCCCTCTCCTTTTGTTCTCTCCCTTTCTCTTTTTTTCTTTTTCGTCACGTGTCTAGCTCTGTGTTACCGTGACCCGTGTGAATGAAAGATGATTTTCTTTCTGTTCAAAGGAGGATTTGACATCCGGGGAACGGGAATCGGTGCGGTTTTCCCGTTTGTTTTATTTCTTTTTTTGTTTGTTTCTTCTCTATCCCTTTTATTTATTCTCCTATTTCTCTTTCCTCTTTTTTTATATTTCCCTTTCTTTTCCCCGTTTTTCTTATCCTCTTTTTACTTTCCCTTTTCATTTAATTACCCTTTTCTTTATCCATTTTTAATTTTCCCATTTCTTTATTTTTTTTCTATTTGTCCTCCTTTTCCCCCTTTTCTTTCGTTCTTCCTTGGTCCTTGTTTCCCTTCGGATAAAAACAATTCATTGATATAAATAAATAAAGAATAAAAAAATATATAAATCAATAAAAAATAAAAGGTTAAACAAACGAAGAAGCAAGGAAAAAAAAAGGAAAATAAAATAGAATAAAAGCAAAACCAAAAAAGTGACGTGTGAAGTACGTCATCAGGCCTGTGGCTCGGTGGCGCCTTGACCACTCGAGAATATTAGACGGAGCGAGAGAGAGAAGAAAAAAAGATTATAAGAGAAAAATGAGTAAAATTATTAATCTTCAAGAGACGTGTGTGATGGTCGCAGAGGAGCTTATTTCGCAAAGTTATTGGCTGTGAAGTGCCGGTCGCTTTCCCGTCTGTCTCTCTCTCACCTCTATCTCTCTTCCCTTTCTTTTCTCTTTCAACTTCTCTCTCTCTTTCTCTCCACTCTATCTCTCTCCTCTCTCTCTTCTCTCACTCATCTCTCTCCTTCCTCTCTCTCTCCTCCTTCCCCCTCCTCCTCTTCCGCCCCCCCCCTCTCCTCTCTCTCTCTCTCTCTCTCGCTCTCTCTCTCTCTCTCTCTCTCTCTCTCTCTCTCTCTCTCTCTCTCTTCTCCCTCTCCCTCTCCCTCTCTCTTTCTCTCTCTCCTTTTTCTCTTTTTCTCTTTTCGTTACCGTGTCTAGCTTTATGTCCCCCGCCGTCGGTTGAAATGAAGATGACTGTTTCTTTCTATTCCAAAGAGAGGATTTGACATCCGGGGAACAGGGAATCGGTGCGTTTTCCCGTTGTTTTATTTCGTTTTTTTGGTTGTTTTTGTTTTTTTGTTTCCTTTCTCTATCCACTTTTTATTTATTGTCCTATTTCTCTTTCCTCTTTTTATCTTTTCCCTTTCTTTCCCCCGCTTTTCTCTATCCTTTTTTTTAACTTTCCCTTTCTCTTTATTCCCCTTTTCTCTTTTATTTCCCTTTTCTTTATCCAATTTTTTTCATTTTCCCATTTTCTTTAATTTTTTTTCTATTTGTCCTTTCTCTTTTCCCCCCTTTCTTTCGTTCTTCCTTGTTCCTTGTTTTCTCTTCGAAGAAAAACCAATTCATTGATATAAATAAAGAAAGAATAAGAAATATATAAATAAATAAAAATAAAAAATAAATTGGTCTTAAGGTTAAACAAACGAAGAAAAAAGAAAAAAACAAAAGAGGAAAATATAAATAGAATAAAAAACAAAACAAAACAAAAGTGACGTGTGAAGTGACGTCATCAGCCTGTGGCTCGGTGGCGCCTTGACCACTCGAGAATATTAGACTGAGCGAGAGAGAGAGAAAAAAGAAGATTATAAGAGAAAAATGAGTAAAATATTAATCTTCAAGAGACGTATGTGATGGTCGCAAGGAGCTTATTTCGCAAAGTTATTGGCTGTGAAGTGCGGTCGCTTTCCGTCTGTCTCTCTCTCACTCTATCTTTCTCCCTTTCTTTCTCTTTCACTTCTTCTCTCTCTTTCTCTCCTCTATCTCTCTCCCTTCTCTCTTTTCTCTCATCTATCTCCTCCTTCTTCTCTTTCTCTCACTGTCTCCGCTTCTCTCTCTCTCTCTCTCTTCTCTCTCTCTTCTTCTCTCTCTCCTCTCTCTCTCTCTCTCTCTCTCTCTCTCTCTCTCTCTCCTCTCTCTCTCTCTCTTCTCTCTCTCTCTCTCCTCTCTCTCTCTCTCTCTCTCTCCTCTCTCTCTCTCTCTCTCTCTCTTCTCTCTCTCTCTCTCTCTCTCTCTCCTCTCTCTTCCTCTTCTCTTCTCTCTCTCTCTCTCTCTCTCTCTCTCTCTCTCTCTCTCTCTCTCTCTCTCTCTCTCTCTCTCTCTCCTCTCTTCCCTTCTCTTCCCTCGCTCTCTCTTCCCCTCGCTCTCTCTCTCTCTCTCTCTCTCTTTCCTTCTCTCTCTATCTCTATCTCTAATCTCTATCTTTCTCTCTCTCTGTCTCCTTTCCTCCTCTCTCGGCTCTCCTCTCTCTTCTCTTTTCTCTCTCTCTCTCTCTCTCTCTCTCTCTCCTCTCTCTCTCTGTCTCTTCCGTCTCTCTCTCCTCTTCTCTCTCCTCTCTCTCTCTCTTCTCTCTCTCTCTTCCTCTCTCTCTCTCTCGTCCTCTCTCCCTCTCTCTCCCCTCGCTCTCTCTCTCTCTCTCTCTCTCTGCTTTTCTCTCTTCTCTCTATCTCTAAATTCTCTATCTCTATCTCTATCTTTTCTCTCTCTCTGTGCTCCCTTTCTCTCTTCTCTCCTCTCTTCTCTCCTCTCTCTCCTTCTCTCTCTCTCTCTCCTCTCTCTCTCTCTCTCTCCCTCTCTTCTCTCCTCTCTTCTCTCCTTCTTCTCTCTCTTTCCTTCTTTCTCTCTCTTCTCTCTTTCTTCCTTCTCCGCTTCTTCTTCCTTTTTCTTCTCTCCTCTCTCTTCTCTCTCTCTCTTCTCTTTCTCTCTTTTCTCTCTTTTCTCTCCCACTCTTATCTCTTTCTTTTCCGTCCTCTCTTTTTCTTTTTTCCCTTTTTCTTCACTTGTCTCCCTTTCTCTCTTCTCTCTTCTTCTCCTCTCTCTCTCTCCTTCTCTCTCTCTCTCTCTCTCTCTTCTTCTCTCTC